CGTCATTTCCGTCGGAAAGTCGTCGGGAAATTATGACAGCTTATTTCCGTCGAAAATCCGTCGGGACAAGACGACGGATTTCCGACGGAATACCGACGGTTTCCGTGTCCGTCAGAAATCCGTAAAAAAATTCCGACGGATTTCCGACGGATTCATTTTGCTCGGAAATCCGTCGGTATGCCGTCGGGAAATTCCGACGGAAATTTCGGCCGTCGGAATACTGTTTGTTTTCTTGTAGTGATAAGTTAATTTTTTCTTTTCGGAGCGGAACTATATATATTGAGAGGCTTGGAATCTATTTATGCCTAACTATCTAAATTGAGTATCAATAATCTCGAGGCAGGTGGATTTGATCAGATTTTGATATCACCAATCTATATACATAAACCAACTATAACTTTGATCTCATTCTACCCGTCTCTCCGATTATAGTTAAAGACAAAATTAGCCGATGATGTCTTATTTTTGTTTTGTTTTAGAGCTGACTAATGTTTCATATAAAATTTAATTAAAAAATGTATATATCTTCTTGTTTTTCTAGAACTAAAATATTTATCTTATATTTTTGAAACATTTTGGTCCTTCACAATTTCCCCTTTATATCTAACATTGAGTTGGGCGAACTCGAAGCAGATTGTGATACAAGATATATTTTTGAAACATTTTGGTCCTTCACAATTTCCCCATAAGTATAAAATTTTCGAAGCAGATTGTAGTCCTATCAATAACTGTAGAACTCGGATTAGAGACCCTGAATTTTAACTTCTAAATTAAATGATGAGTTGATAAGTTTGAGATCATGGTCTCTAAGCTGCTAGCTCAAGAATTAATGTGTCATAAGTTTAGCGAAGAAGGACACTTATGGAATGAAGTTGCACTTGCAAGCGAAGAGTTTATGGACCATCTCGACCTGATACTAATATAGAAAGAAGATATCTCCCATTTAGAAAAGATAGTTTATGTCTCATTAAAATTTATAGTTCTTTTTAACTTATCAGAGAAATGTGTAATTCTTATGATTGCAATTTAGTTCAACATTTTTACTAGATCTTTTAATATATACGTAACATATCGAATTTGTTCATTTTGATATATAAAATGTCATGTTTTCGATGTGAGTTTCATTCTTTCAAACAATAACTATCGCTGTCAATTTTGGCATCCACATTTTGACACCATATATAGAAAATAATATCTTATAACTTCATAAGCCACAATTGACCCGACTCTCAACTTTGTACACTAGTTCTGGCCAAATATATAACTCGACATTCTGCTCACATGGAAATGATCTAATTTTAAGGATATGACTTTGTTTACTTTCGACTCAAAGGCACTATATATTTACGATTTATGG